CCTGTGCTACCAAGAGTTACCGTGTTCCTTCTTCCTGCTGGTCCATCCAGTGTTGCCTGTGTCCCAGGAATAAGGTCTGTGGGCTGTGGAGGTCTCTCTACTCTCCAGCTGGCTGCTTTCAGCAGAAGTTAACGTATTTCCAAATAAACCCCTGTCTGCTTTGAACACAGCCAACTTTCCAGAAGCTTTGCCATCCCTTCCTGTTGATGTCTGAAAATGTTTCAGTGTTATGGGGCTGTTTTTTGTTGGACATCTGGCCGAGACATTTCAGTGAGGGAGAATAACTCTCAGGGTAATTCCTCTTGAGATTCTCACTCGGTTGTTCCCCTGCTCGATACGCCCGCAGAAGATCGTCAGTAATTCCAGACCAGCCCCCTGACAGCCAGGAGCTCCCTCATCAATATTCACCGTGGTTATTAGTTGTTCCCAAACATTTCAAGCAAGGTTTCGGCATCTGCCTGGCCTTTTGAGATGGTGGGTGTCCCCAGATCCCTGCGGGGTGGAATCACTCCCGTGTGTCCTGTTGCTCACTCGTCTCCCAGAGGTGATGTGCTGCTCTGCGGAGGTGGGATGCACTGAGCGCTGCCGGTGGGAGCGGCTCCTTGGACGTGAACATCCTGCGTGTCTTCCCACTGGTGCGTCTCCGAGGGTTTTCCCAAGGACTTTTGCAATGGGAGCTGAGCCAAGGGTCTGTCTTTGCAAATGGGCGTTGTTGGGTGATGACCTGGCTGATGGTTTGTCTGCGTGCAAAGAACCAGATGTTAGTGTGGTTGGTAGTGTGACTACATTGAACTAGATGACTAGGTTAAGATGACTCTAATGAACTAGATGACTGTATTAAGATGACTCTAATGAACTGGTTGTTAATATAGTTCATCGGTCAGGAAAGGAGTGGTGGCACTGGCCGGATCCAGCGGCAAAGCTCAGACCCTTCCCTGGTTGCCGGTGTCAGTTCCACTGCCTCAGAGCGAGAAATCCCAAATGCGTGACCAGCGTGTCTTGGGTTTGTGAAAATGAGTAATTAAAGGAAGGGCTGCATTCAAATGCGCTTGACAGATGTTCTCTCCGCCAGGATGGGTATATTGGAGTCTTTCTCCCAAGCAGGAAGCTTGCACTAAGATTTACGAGGGCTGCATGAATAAGAGCAGCAGCAGGTGGAGGAGCTGATACTGTGGCAGCCAGCTTCCGTTGCTGGCAAACGTTTTGCAAAGCAACTTGTGTGGGAAAATTTTCACAAATAAAATTGGTTTCTGAGCTTTGCAAATAAATCTCTTTGGGTTAGATATTGCCATCAGAGACAGCACTGCTCGCTTTCCGATATCACCTCTGAATTGTTTTGTGGTGCTAGGGAGTGAGAAATTCAATCAGATGAAACGGCCGTGTCAAGCATTTCAGTGCTCGGTAAGTGAACGCTGAAACAGCAGGGATGTGGGCAGGCACTGCAGGACATGTCCAGAACCTGTCTCCAAAGGGGAGCACCGCGTTAGTTCAGATGTCTCCAGTTCCTGATACAGAGCCACTGGGAGAGCTCGTGATTGAGTTTTGCTTTGCAAAGCTGGGTGAGGTTCAGCTATTGGATTAATGTCAAACTGTCATACTGAATTTTCTGCCTGTTTTTCCTGAGCCAGAGGTTGGGACATTGCAGTGTGCATGAGGACAGAGTGGTGCCTTCTTCAGAAGAGACTGTCGATCGGTTTCCCTAACGCAAAAATGCCTTTTGGGAAGGAAGAGGGGAGTAAACGGTGTAGGAGGCAAGCACTGGCCTCAGTTGGACTTACCATATGCCTGTCTATAATCGGGAAAGAAAAATACATGTTCCGGTGTGCTAACCGTAATTACCAAGAGATGAAGTCAATCCTTGATGACGGTAGCATTGAAAGATGTTGCCTTAAAGCCACAGGGTCTACTTTTCTTATCACCCTGAAGTTGAGAGAGTTTGACACAGAGATGCTTTAAATTTGCCAATCATGGTACTTAACATCCAGGGCTGTGACACGCAGTATTAATGATGATCGTAGCCTGTTATGTTGCGGGATGCTCGAGGTGCTTATCATGTAATGGATGAGGATCTTCTTTTTTCTGTCCTGGGTGATAGTCTGGATTTCCCCAAGGGGCTCGAGAGTGCTGTGGCATTGGGCTGGAAGTGACGGTGTGAAGGGTTAACAGAATTTCTGCACCAAACAACGCTTTTCTTTCACCAGCAATCAAACAGTCCTTGGTGGGGCTCGGTGCTTGGTGTTTTCTGACATCGCAGAAAGATCAGTGACTGCATGAAACACATGTAGTTTTCATTTGCACTTTTTATGTGTCTCTGGTAATCAGGAGGCAATGCCAGCCCCAGCTCCTGGGTTATTGCT